ACAGCTTCATCATCTTATTTATTAACTGGAAACAGTAGTTATCGGTAAACCAACTTATCTGTATAGTGGTTATAAAAATAAATAAAACAGACATTAAGGTCAAATTCACTTAGTGTTGTTTCACTTGTATCTTCCAATTGTTATTTAAGACTGCAATTGATCAGTCTGATGTTGGCACATGTGCATCCTGTGCGGATTGCTTCGATATAGCCTTAAGTTAAAAGCTTTTTTACGCAAAGATGGATAGTGGCTAGCAGTGGAATTGAGGACGCGCGTTTCGTCCTGTTTGGGACTCGTCAGCTGGATGTACCTGCATCCCAGAATTCCGGAACGAACATATCACGCGTCCTGATAACCGATATTAGATACCTCTCAACGATGCATGAATTTCAGAAAACAATACGAAACGTTGAATACAGTTTGTTGTTGCACTAAACAGATCACAAAGCCACAAGACCACAAAGCTGATACCAAAAAAAATTCGAATACGAATGAATAGAAGCGTACGAAGTCGAGCAAACACATGTGAACGGATGAATGAATGGAGTCTACCAAGCAAATATATGTGGCAAAGCAAATCATTTATAAAATGACTTAAGCGAGTAACATTTAAGCTAGTAAGAGGGATATGTGTGTAGGCTGTAACACGTGACCAAGCATATATATTCGTAAAAACAAGATTATAAAGATACGAAGATATTGACAAATTATTATTATTCAAATGACACAATCTATTAAAAAAAAGTCAATTGAAAGGCAAAATTTAAAGTATACGGATCCAAATTTAGGCGAGGGACTTTAATTCTCGTATAAATCATCAGTTCCGTCTAAATGAGATCATACAATTTTTGAACCAGTCGGCTAAGCTTCAAATGTACTCTTCGTCTGCAGATGAATAATATTCATTCGTAATAACTTGCATTCATCGTAAAATTCATATTGTTAGCTCAGTTATTGTATTCCTATGTCACTATCATTCGAATAGAATTATTTTGTCTCAGAAAAATACTTTTCTACTACAAATAATCTAAATACATAACTGTTTAATTTGTAAACGATATATTCCAGTGATATGGATATTATGTAATTTTTAGTGGCCCGGGATCTGACTTCAGTTAGATCATATGTTTATCGCTATTGAATGATTGCCATCGAAATATACACATGTCACCTATCCTTCTATATAATTATCTATATAACTCGCATTAGTGAATAACGGAGTTAAATAAGTCAAATACGAGAATAGATTTCGAATACATATATTTTGTACACTCACTGATCTGAACAGGAAATGAAAGGGATGAAGAGAATAGAAAGGTGCGAAGCGAAATGACGCACTGTGAAAAAGGCATGTGAGCCAACCTCCTTTAATCAAGCGTTAATCAACATTTATAGTCACACAAAAATAAGCTACAAACATGTGATGAGTGGGATAAGAAGTGTACACACCTAATCTCATATAAAAACAGTCAGGGTTGATGATTGAATAATTAACACAGTCAAAACGTGACTCAAGAATAATGAATAGACCGGCCTGTCCAAAATCTATTTTTAGAAAATTTGTTCAAGCCAGTGGTTTCATTGAAATCTGGTTGTCTTAAAATAAAACGAAATTATGATCCCGAAAAGTTATGTTTTACCTACGAATATCGGACTCATCCGCTCGGAAAAATATTGATTTATGTCAATCCATTTGAGCCATGACGGTTCAAGTTAAATAAAATTTGTAGTTCTATTTAGTTGACTGTTATAATTCATGTTTCAACGTTTAGCGATTTTATAATTTTTTCAATCTATTTGCAGAAAGATTTCTAAGAAAGAATGTAGATTAATACGATTTTCAGTAATGAGTTCATCCTACCGAATATTATAATAGTCTTGTGCAGTTACTATAAATGCCTTTTCTGATAAGATATTACATATTTTCATGAACGTTTTGCACTAGAAGTAAGGGTTTGTAAACTATGTATTGATATCCGACGACCAATTCACTACTATTATAGTGGAGTATTTGAAAAACCACTGTAATGTGAAAAGTGTCGGCATCAGTAGGACATTATTTAAATAAAGCAGAGTTACGGTAAGCGAACATAATTTGCTTTAATACTGCGCCTCGGATGCTTATAATGAGTTAAATACGAAAGTATTAAACATTAGAACTTAGGTCTATGTGAACGGATAGTGATTAATTGAAACCTCCTGGTTAGGAACACCATATACATGTAGCGCAAAGTATGAGTGCTTATTTTTGAGAAATTCTGGAAATTGCATTATAACTCAGATTAGATGATATTTCTTAGTGGAACTCAGTAAATGCTTTGAACTCATTTGTGAAACAGCAAAGATAACACTATTCTGCAAAGTAAACTCGATGAAGTCGAAATCTAAGATCAGCATTCATTTATTCAAATAATTTAGCATCATCACAAGACTACTGTTTTACGATGGACATCACCAGTACAATATTTGTTATTGTTTGGCATTTCACACTAGGAGTCAACTAGATTTCTTTAGCAATTACATAATGTATTGTAACACAATTTAATAGATACTAAAAGAGAATATTGACACGAATCACTGACATGCTAAGGACAACCAAACAGTTCAGTTGTCTAACATAGTGTTACAAACAATCTTACATTTCTACCCAGTATTCGTTTTGCGGTAAGATGATATACTGTATCATTGACATTGGGTTAACTTTCCTGAAGCTATAAAAAATCAATAACAGGTTGAATTTGCACTGAGAATTAATCTATTTTCAATGACCTTATTGAATATGACTCCAAAATCTCATACCATCTAGATTTTACTGCTATTATCTACCACAGTAACAGTAATCATTTTGAATTCATTATATTGCATTGGATGTAGATACCAGCTGACAAACGTTTCTAAACTAAACTATCAGAAAAAATTACAATAAACTAGTGAGTTGAAATATTTCTCTGTGGACAAAATCTAAGAAGCATGTTAGTGAAACGTATTTAGGCTAAATACGTAAAGTATCGTTAATTTAACTATACAAAATAAGAAGAAATGTTTATGAATTTCTTCATTCTGTGATTTTATCAGAAAATAAGAAATAATGATTTATTGTTGATAAACCTTGTATACAGTTCTTAGATTAAGACAGATTTTTCTTTTTGCTACATCTGGTTAGATTCACTGAAGCGTTTACAACATATATATAACAAAAAAAAATACTCTTTTAAAGCCTTTTTAATTAGATTCACCTATGTTTTGTCTAATGGTAATCTAGATTAATTGTTTTTGAGTAACCATAACAATAAAGATCCATTATGTAGAAACAAAATCACTTGACATGGTGAAAAAAAATCGTCTGATTGTTAACTGACAATTTGTTTCAGAAAATGAAAGAACGTTTTATTATACACTTTGAACAAAACAAATCCAGATAATGCATTAATTGTTTACAATTCTTTCCTTGATTTCATGGGATGACAACAGAACCATTTTTTCAACATTTATAAAAACTGTGTCACATACATTTTCTTCTCTGATAAAATAGTTTGAGGAAACTATGTTTATAATTACAATGTTATGGTGAACTTAGGTTGAAACGTTTATTTTATGTTGTATAAGTATATGTAAATTGTTTCGGAAATTTACTTCTCAACCAGAAATTTTAGATTAAACAATGAATGACTGATATCCTAGAAACAATCTTGATGACTATTACCAAACTACAATATAACCACTGTCCATTCCTATCTGGTTTTCAATCGTTCCCTAGATGATATTCATCAATAATGTAAAAATTAACTTCAAAATGGATTTAGCGTCACAAGCTTTATAAGTAAAGATGGATAATGGCTAACAGTGGAATCCAGGACGCACGTTTCGTCCCACTTGAGACTCGTCAGCAAATAGTACCTAGTAAATGAAAGTTGTTTATTTCACAAAAGATCCCATGAATACTAGGAAAAGAGAATACTTGTTAAAATTTGTCATTTAACCTTATATGAATTCGTGGTAAAAGCATACTGACATGCCTAATTAATATAGAAATTCATGATATTTTGATTTGAATTTTTTTCACTAAAGAACCTTTTCAATTTCATCAGTTAATAAACTGTGTTTAACATTGTATGATCGGTTATACATCAAACAAATTTCAGCAATTTATTAAGATAGTTGACTTACTAGTGACTTATTAATCATCAAACAAAAAACCTTCTACTGAAAATTAGGTTGACAATTTGTTATAAATCAAGGATATCAAAAAATATAATGTGAAAGATAATGAAAGTACTTATTGTTATAATGGCATATAAGAATTTGTTATAACTAAACAAAATAAGTACTATCGTTCTGACAGATTGAAATGACTGATTCATATTTTAATTCAATCAATCAAATTGTATTCTTTTAATTAAATGATACATCTATTAATATAACATTAACTAAAACAAAAGTGATTACTTATAAGTTTACATTGTTTTAAATTTTATTTTCATTTATTTGTTTTTATCTACACTTTAGGTTAGAACGAATCAAAAGTTCGTCGGAAGGATAGAACATGAACATCACATGATTAAATCAAGACACTATTAAGAGTGACTTCCTATTATAAACTCCCCATATCTCATTATTTTAGTTACATTATTGTAACTGAGCAATAAAAAAATAATGTAAATATCTGCATACGTAAGAAACAAGTTTATTTAAGCACTATTGAAATGATACGAATTTGCATGCAGTTTAATTCATTTTAGTTATTTGACTTGATTTTAAGTAATACAATATGAATTTCTCAAACGGAAATTTACACATAAGGTTAGCTCATTTCTTTAGAATGTTATCATAGTATAAGGTTGAAGTGAACACAATGATTTTCCTGCGCTCAAAACAATATATCAACTTATTAATTCTGATAGATTATAAATAGATCAAAAAAACTAGTTTGCTTAAAAGAAGATGAGGATCTGGAATTGATCTTATGACCTTGTAGTATTAGTTTTTAATACAGTCAACTTTCATTTATTGCTTAATTTATAGACTACAAAATAGTTCTGATATTTTCTCTGACTATCATTAGAATAGAAATGAAAAACTGTAATTCTAAAGTCATAGAAATTACAGAAACTTACTAGGTATTATAGAAACTGTATAGTTAATTGACAAAATATACATCACCAGATAAATCAGTAGTAATTCTTATGATGTTGGATAAGATAGCTCTATCAGACTTCAGTCAGCTATAAAGTAGGACCAGGCACATATATGAATGGGTCTAAGTTGCCATACTCCATTAACACAGAAAGATGAACACCGGATTCACAGAAGTAGTTAATTCAATAGTGGTAATATATAAAAGAAAGATTGCATATAGGGACATAGTACAGTAAAAAAGAATTAGTAAGTAGACCGATATGAAGCGATTTTAAGCTCATAGTTTAAGGTAATATAGAGAATGTATACACCTACGCCATTGTGATCAATTCTGAGTCATACCACTAAGAGTTTCCAACCATTAGTTACGATAGTCACGCGGACCTCAACCAAGCAGTCTGAATCTATCAGACTTACGGAAACACTCAAAAGATGTTGTTCTAAATATAACATTACTTATCACACACTAACCCACTTCACATGTACATATGTCATTTTAAATTTTAATGCATCTCATGTGTAATACAATGAATGTTTCAGACTAGCCATATATTCTATTCCTTAAATTTACATAGACAATGGAAAGAAAAATAAAACAATCATCATTCATTTATACGAATATTCGTCAAGATTAGAACGAATAGTTTGACAGTAATTGAGCGCCGAGTTTAGAGAAGTCATTATATGTGAAAATTATATTTGAAATATTCTCAGCGATTGAAATTTAACTAATTCCAACGTTTCGTCCAGACAAGTTAGCTGGACGAAATGAAATCTATTAAATAGAAAATATTTTAACTCACCTAAAACTCCATCATCCTTCCATATCATATCATCTGTATTATTCATTGTAATTTCAGTTTCATCACCATAATTGTAATGATGTTTATTGAATTGTTTCAATTTATATTTATTTAATTGAATTAATGTTTGATGAATATGTAACCATTTGATAACTTTTTGTCGTAATAATTTAACAGATTGATTATGTAATACAGTTTTTGTTGTTCTATCATTTATTGCATTATGATTAGTTTCAGTTAATTCAACGTTACACAGATTTGTATTTTGAATATCCTTTATTTATAAATATTATGTAATAAAACAAATCATTAATCAATTCTATTTATAAATATCTTTTATTGATATGATAATAATTCTCAAAACATTAATCAATAATAGTTAGCAATGTCTTTATTCTAAAAATGTGGAACTATGAAATAGTTGTTGTACGATTCTAGAGACGAAAAAATCCCCCTTTCAATTATTAACGATAAACTAATCTTAATCAATATTCATTTATCTCCTTTGTATATTCTATTTATTTATTCAATAAATAATTAAATAATATTTATTCTATGATTGTGTAACTTATGTACAATAGTTTTTTTTAAAGTATATTGACCTTATTGAACAAATACTGAATTCTATTCACATAATAATAAATAGATATTTCAATAGTTCAGATCATAAATCAATTGAAGCTAGACCATCATGGAAAACCTATAAGCACTAGACGGCCTTTTCGTTTCAGTATGGAACTTCCCAGTAGAGCGCATCCACTACCACACCTCGCAAGATTCGAACCTAGGATCTATCGGTCTCGCGTGTAAACGCTTAATCTCTGTACTACTGAGCCGGGATCCAACGGTATTAGTGTCTAACTCCAACCAACCCATGAATATGGATTAATTGATTAACATGTAAAAAATAAATATACCCAACATGTAGCTGAATATACAACTGAAATAACTGACAGAATTTTCACTGTGAATATGATGGATTACATAACTAGATAGTTCATGCTTTATTCATCCATTCACTATAATTCCAAATCAAAATTATAAAATAATAAAAAAAACTTATGTGTACTAATTAGACAAACATCCTGTGTATAATTTTAGATCCTAATAAACGAAAGCACAGGTAGAGACGACCAATTATACTGCAACATTAAATTATGGAGTTATGTGATAAAATGTGAAAATCATACGTTTATTCCTTCGTTTGCAAAATTTCCATTAATTATCTCAGAATTTATTGTTCTTTCATTTCTATATCAATTACTCTCTGTTCCCGTTCTCTTTTATTTGATCTTCTCAACTTGCTATTGTTAGGTATTGCTTTTTCTATTTGGCGTTATATACTACGTATGTCGACATAAGTAGCGCACGGCAAATTGAACCTTATACATTCTTTTGAATAATTCTTTTGCTGAAAGACGTTATTTATCATTAACTTTGTTCACGGTTAATCATTTTATTCAAAGATGAATTAAATTACTATAGGAAACGAGTATTCAACAACTAACATAACTTGTATTTTAGAGTCGATCTAATCATGCTTCCAAAATAATTTAAATTGTTTGCAGACATTGATGTTTGTTTTCAGGGATTTCACAGTGGTGACAAGCAAATAACTCTGTCCAAAAGTATTATGTATATGTTATTATATTACGATCTGATTAATCATCTTCCCGTTAATCCTATGTTTGGGGTGCTATTCTTTCTCTAACTATGAAATGTTGCTTCAAGATTGTCCTGCGTTAGCTGCTGAATTAATGATAGAAAATGAAACAATAGAACGCATCGACTGTGCCACTTATTTTGAGAGTCTTATCGGTCCTGATGTTATAGTATCTGATGAAATCTCGGCACCTGTTCAGAAGTCTCAACTGACTTTTCCCAAGTTGTGCTAATTGTACGTTGGAGAGATATCTATCTGATGACCAAAAAAATAATTTACTTCGCAGCAATTCTCATTACTCTACTTTATGATTGTGAAACATAACCATTAAGAACAGAGGATATTCGTAGGTTGCTAATATTCAATAATAAGTGTCTTACAAACGTTTCTCGTGTATTTTGGGACCACCGAGTAAATAATACTCAGGTTAGGAATATAGGACTAGGTAAAGATGGCAAATCGATTGATGAACTAGTAAATTTTCATCAACTAAGGTTGGGTTTAGACATGTGTGACGTATGCACAGCCACCGCCTATTGATGGTGTGCGAGTGGCCATCCATAAAGTCACTGACAACTGAACTGAGCCATGTTAATAGATGTAGAATACCTGGTTAGTTCCTGCGTGAATGCTGTAACCAGCGGTTAAAGATTTTGAATGGCATAGCTCAAAATCGTTTGCAGTGTTGCAGGCTCATTCATTTTTTATCATCTCGTATATTCTGGGCTTTTGAAATCCCCATAATTTTTATATTTCTGTAATTTATATTTTCTTGAACTATTTTCTTCAATGTCATATCTTTCTGTTATCATTGATACTGTTATTAGCTCTTTTACTGTGAGATTGACCCTGACATTTTCATCTTATTGTGCTTATGATTTGTGATAACTTGAACCGCTGTAAATAAATACCACGCTTTACTTTGAATCTGACTATCTGGCTTCCCGTTAATTTGTTTATCTAACCAACAGTCGTTATCACATTCAGTTTCATTTCAACTACTTTGATTTACACATAATTATTTCCCTACTCCTATACTGATTCCAAGAAATAGAATCTTAGATCGATAATCATCAGTACTAGACCTAAAGATTTCTATGTCCATTAATATTCTTCTTTCCCTTTATAACAATCATATTGAAAGATTAACTCGTAAGCAATTTCTATGCTGTTGGATATAATTATCACTAATCTATGAATTGTTATTCAATTTCTGTGCATTCAATTCACAGATTATGTTAATGGGAGGAAATAAAACCGTTTAGGCTTCGATAACTTTCAAAGTATTAGAGCCATATGTATGTACTGAACAATTTAATCAGACTGATTAGCTAGACTAGTTACATAGGAAATAAAGTCAAACGAAATACATTTAAACATAAAATCACGGATAATCAGGTAACACTGGGCACACAACACCTATGATATCATAGATTAAAGTTTAGTTGGGTTCATTGCAAGTGAAAATTGTTTTCAATACAAAAAGATATGAATTTTCATATAGCTAGACTCTGGAAGAATCCAAGTATTTACTTTTCTATGTAATACTAGTAAATCTGGTTTTTTATGAGTACTTTAATCTTGTATTTTCGATTAGCGACACAGAAGGATGGAAGTTGATAACCGATTATCAGATTAAGCGTTTTCGAAGACATGTAGGTTTGCACGCTGAAATTTTAACACAATGTTTGAAGATCCTATATTTGAGCTCTGATAGATTCATGTGCTCAGAGCTGTGGAGGTTCAAACTAGGATGAAACGGTTATTTGATGCTTTCCGTTTTTTGATGGTTGTTGAAATTAATTTAGTCCGTGTTGTGAGAATTCACGTTTACTTTACTATTTAACTAACGCTATATGGATGCAGTGACTACCTCTTTCTACTGATATAAAGTTTGTATGGTTAGAGTATATAATATTTTTGGAGCTGAATGTTATTCTACTCTTCATCTAAAAACTTTTCTACTGCGTTTATTGATTTTAGAGCACAACTCGTAATCTCATATTTCTTACTGATTACTGTAATGTATTCCATATATACCTTAGAAAACTTTACATCCTGAATTGAATCTTTATCTAAATGTTATATTTATGTTAGTAATTCTTTACACGGTTCTGATAAACATCATCTTCTCAGTGCACTGTTAGATTATTACACAGATAATACCAATGGAATACAGATGTATATGTTTAAGTAATGATAACATATAAACAAAACTTTTGTTTCCTACAATGCCTTTAGTTTCTATAGTAACGAAATATGAACAATGACTACAAAATAACTTCGAACTGCCTAAGTGATTGCTATTTTTCGACAAATTAGATTTACATTTTCTTTTTATCATTCCCACCAGATCCCACTTAATTGTGATAACCTCATCGACCGTCTTAGTAAAGTTATCATGTCAATTAGGCATATTATTATCATTAGTATTATTATTGTTAATGAATTTGCGGAGATTTTAGAATTTTCATAGTTTAAATCATGAACCATGTTTAGGGTGAAACAGTTATCCATCCTCGTAACGGAAAACGGCTGTGCAATATTATGAATTGAAGTTAAACATCCGCACTATCAGATCTTAGCTCAATAATCTGTAGGTTAAACGTTCGTAAGCAAGAATGAAGATTCTGGGCTCGGTCGACAGAAGCCTATCATGCGACGTACCTGAAATGTATTTAAAAGAGTCCAATCGGACCTCATCAGTAATTACACGATATTATTTACTCCGGTGATCATAGGTTACTGACTTGTCATATAACTGATACAACATGATAGTTATCCAACTCAAATAGCGGAAAATAGTCACTTACTATCGAGAACCAATCCAAGTTTTATATGTTTACCATTTGATGACAGCTCAGTGGTCTAGAGTTTAGTCGCTCTCTGTTAAGCCGAAAGTCTTCGGTGCTATACCCAGTAGGATCGTGGATGGACACTCTTGAAGAGTTCTATAGTACGATGAAACAGTTTGCCGTGTCTATCCTCGTTTTTAGTGATAGTCTAGTCAAGGTCATTTCGTTTTGAAACCATGAAAGTTATTACTATTATTAGCCTTATCTTCATTATCATAATCGTTTCAAATTTGTTTAACCACTCATATATGTAACTATTTAATTATGTGCACCCCTCAGAATTTTCGTACCACTTTGAATTATTACCATGATAGTTATTATTATTATTATCATCATCAGTATTATGAATTCTTAATCATTAGATTTGTGTAATGAATATCATAATAATTTTATCATTTTTCTATCTTAATTTGCATATTTTTTTCTTATTCCTGATTACAACATGATCCCTCTTATTTACCCCGTTACTAATAATATTGTATGGATGTGAAAAGTAATTGAGATTACTATTCATTGGTAAACTGAATTAAATTGTGTTTCAAAAAACGAAACTACACTTATAAACGGTTTTATTTATAGATTTAGTGTGTATATTAAGGGTTGTAAAGAATGTGAAACAAAATGGATTCATTTTATCCTAAAATGTTCGTGCTTCTTGTTATATAAGAGATAAATAAATGCTGCTGTCTCTTATGTAATAATTATTGTCATTCTTGATACTGTATGGATAAATATTTTCATTATTTCTTATTGAACATTAAAAAAAATGAATAAAATCGTTTGAAGATAGACTATATCACGAAATGACCATAGTCATATGACCATTATATACCAGAATGTCCTGGTGTATTACGTATTTACATTATAAAAAACCTGAGCCACGAGCACCAGTGACTTTCAGGCATTGTATGTTGAGATGATGGTGACTAGCAGTGGCTGAAGATAATAACAAGGTAATCAGCAGAGGATGCACATATGCCAATAAGAGACTGATCAATTGCAGTCCCAAATATCTATGATACGTATCAAGTAATCAACACAAAATTGAATTAGGCTTCATCCAATTGCACAAGCTAGTCGTTATCTTGACTCAGTAAGTAATTGATTAACGCAATAGTGTTTGAGGCGATTGGTACTGGGTTCGAGTCCCTGGGTGGACATCAATCTTGGAATGCATGTACATTTAACTAATGAGTCCCAAATAGGATGAAACGCGCGTCATGGATTTCACCACTAGTCACCATCATCTCAGCTTGTAAATTAGTTTTCTTCAAAAGAAATACTCGAAATGTATTTATTGAAGCAATATGAAAATATACTGAAATAAATGAAGAAGAAAGCATACGAAGGAAATAGAGAAGATAGTTAAGTTTTACTTTAATGTAGGTTAGTCATTGTTTGGTTGACAAGTGAGAAATGAATTGACATCTCATTTATAATTTTGCTAGTTTGTATTTATCATTTGAATTTTCTTTGGAAATTGATACTTGTTATAATCACAAGTTTTGTAATTAGAAATAAGTGAAAGGAATATTATCAATACTTATGTATATGATAAATTGTACGAATGTAAACATTGATTTCTCTCTTTTCTTAAGAGCATTTCTGTACAAAAATAACTGTAATGGGAACAACTTATTGTTTTCTTAAAAATCGAAATGAGGATGATTAATTTCATTATTCAGTTAGTTCATCGGTTATGACTGATTAGAGCAGTATGAAAAATGGCTTATATTTACACTTCTGAATGATAGCAAAGGTTTGATGGAAGAAGAATTGCATATGTATATGTATGGTGAAAAACTAGACTTCTTCAAATTATTTAAATTGTATTACCCAAAAAAATACTAATTACATTAGTTCAATTAGTTAATAATTTAAAATAAATAAGAACCTTCATGAGGATTTACTTACCTCCATGTCAACTTGTTCTTTGATTTTTGTGCAATTAGTAAAAGTATAATTTTGTGCCATGTCAATAATTTTCGTCATTATTTCAGCTTCTTCATCTGTATCTGTATCGACTGACAGATCTTCTTCACAGTTAATATCAGTTAACTTTGAAAATTATAGAGAAAACCTTCATTGCAATATATTAGTAACAAACAAGAATTAGTTTTGAAATGAACAATATAAAATTACTAAACCGAATTTATCCATTTTTCATATGAAAGTTGTTTAGCGAAGAAAATTTCTTTTTTCGCTTATATCATTTACTCAAGCTGTGCAACTGTATTTTTAATTAACTTTATACAATGTAGTCTTTAGTAAAATAGAGATATTGTTCAACTAGAGTGTCATTGAGAAGAGAACTTTCTTCTCTGTGATGTCTTTTCTTTGTCTAATGACACAATAAGTTTAATTCGTTGTTTTGCATATAGCAATGACAAAATCTCGTGAACAGGAATTTCATATTTATAAGCTCATTTATGGAGTGTAAATGAAATCTAGGAGTAACGGCATGTTTCCCTTACAATTTGTTATTTATGTATGCTATTAGGGATTTTGAACACTTATATATACATTACTTACTTATGCCTGTTACTCCCAATGGAACGTAAGCCGCCGATCAGCATTCTCCAACCCACTCTGTTCTGGGCCTTCCTTTCCAGTTCTATCCAATTTTTGTTCATTTTTCTCATATCTGTCTCCATTTCTCAGCGTAATGTGTCCTTTGGTCTTCCGTTTTTCCTTTGGCCTTGAGGATTCCATGTGAGAGCTTGCCTTGTGACACATACAAATATCGTGAATCATGGCAAGTGTTCAGTTAGAACACTTTCTATAACGATATTTATACTAATTACTGTATTGAAGCTTATGCAGTTTCTAGTACTATACCAAGCCTATATGGCTATACTAGTTACTGGACGGGCCAATTAATGTATTCATCTTGAGTCACATGTCGACCTAGTGAATTACTCGCTTATAACCTTGACTGTTTTTATACGATCGTATATGTCTGTATTGCTTACCCTACTTATCACATGTCTTTAACTTATTTTTGTCTGACTATAGATCAGGCCTTATCAAATGGAGTATTTACGCCTGCCTTTTTCGCCCCACTTCAATTTTAGGCTTTTTATTATTTTTGCTTCAGTAGACGAGTATCTGAAATAAATCCATCCATTAAAAATATTATTTGGCTTATCACCACTGTCATACGAATAGGATTAGTCTAGGTGTAATATACCGAGTTAAATGGAAGATATATATTCATGAATTCCTCATAATTTCTTTATAATTGGAGTCCGATTAACGGGCCACTAAATCTTATCAGAAATAAAGACATCCATTGATACAAAAATAATTTCGAAAAAACAAGTCCCACGTATAATTAAATGGACAATGAATTTTATTACTGTTCATTACGTAATAACATGAAATTGACGCCAACATCAGTTATTGATTAACAGCTTTTAAAATCACTTTTACGAACCGATATAAATGGATTTGAAACTGTCATAAATAACTTTGTATCCTAGTTTCAACGATACGAAGAAAACAGTAACAATATAAAATGTAATTGCTTCGAAAAACACATAACAACGGTTACTATATACGTAAGCAACTTTATGTTCATAAAGAATTTCTATTCTCATCAATGAAGTTTTCCCATAGCATAAGGATACTGTTTTGATCTTCCCACGTGTTATTGTTATCGAAGAAGACTTTCCGTCTGACTTACTACATGAAGAGATTGCATGCTCTTGGGATTACTCGTCATTTACTCTTACACTTTGTCAATTCTTGCATATTACCTATTATTCTTTACTGTTCTCCATTATTTTTTCCCGGGTTTTTAAGGAAAGACTTTGCTGTATTGCGGAGAGTGCTGAAGGCAGTTAGCAAGGTGTGTGGTGAATCTTTCAAGGTCATAATTAATATGGTTGTGGATAGACGTTTAAAATCATGCAAACTCCTGGCAGGTGTTATTTTATCAGATACTAACCATCCCCTTTAATCTTATCTTTCTCCTTGTATAGCTTCTGGTAGAACGAGACGTAATTACATTAAAATCCATGCACGCAAGCAAAAGTACAAAAGTTCTATAATACCTTACCTAGCAAATATACTCTGTGACGAACAGGTTGTTAGAGTTAACCTAGTCAATAACTTGCACTGTTAACATGTCCTTAATTTCAAAAGTTGTACAGTTTTTCAGGGTTTTTTTTAAAAAACCTTTTTCATTGTTACTATGTTTTGTTGTTGTTGCGTAAGTAACTTGTTGAAATAACCTGTGCTGAGAATTCGATATTGTACCAAATATAATATTGAATAAAGCCATCAATAATAATAATAATAATAATAATAATAATAATAATAATAATAATAATAATAATAATAGTAATAATAATAATAAACAAGACTTCGGAATTTTATGCTGGAATTTTAATCATAACTAATATTATATACATAAAACTAAGATAGTTTAATAAATACTTCTAGATGAATTTATCAAGTTTATAACTTACCAAATTGATTTTATTCAACCTTTGTATTTTTAATTGAATTGGAAATGGTGTTGATTTTAATAATTTAACTGATTTCCTTAAATCCATGTTAATTAAATTTATTTCATTTACCTAAATGAAAAGGTTAAGTTTGATTAGTAAACAGTATTTACATAACAATTATGATTAGATCAATGTAAATTAACTAAACAATATCCAGGAGCTTAAACCAGAATTATGCGTACAAAAGAAGTACGTCTTATCGTTATCGTTACCTTGGCCTTAAGTATTTTGATTAAACAATATCTATTGAATTTACCTTTTTGTTTTTAATATAAACTAATCATTGCATATTTTCTTTTTGTTAAAGCTTTTTTTTTAAAATTATTTTTCGATGTAAACATAAATTACTTAATACATACAGTGAACTTGTTTTGAATATTTGATGTGAAAATAGAGAAATAATAAAGTAATTATGAATAGTGGCTTTTTCTCGAGACATTGTTCCACTTAATTTAAAATCTTTAAAGTACTAACATTTAGTTTTATCCCTGTTTAATGTGTAACTTACTGTCATATACTTTTTTCTTTCTAAATTACTGTAATTTAAACGTCACCTTTGTATTCCAGTTTTCTACTCGAATACTCTGGTTTAAACACAACTGTATAATACTGTGTATTGTAGTCATGCTAATTCATATGCATTAGAAATGTTTTAAGATAGTTCTTATTCTTTTTGTTCGCTAATCAACCTATCAGTTCATAGGTCAGTGACAAAAATGTTTCCTTCACTTTGTCATTAAAGGCTTTCAGTGATTGTCGAAGTCACGAATTGCAAGTCTTAATGCTGTACTAAGTAGTCTACCGCTTTAAGACCTTAAACAAAATTGAGACAATTCTCTCACTCTGACTGGATATTAAGCACAGACAAGTGGGCAGACATATTAAGGAGTTAATAATAGTCACGTTTTTAGGCCAAATATTTGTTTGTTAGAAAAAGAATCACATTATAACGAGGTGCTTAAGAAATATGATGTACGGCATGCGATAATTTTCTGAATGTCATGGAAACTCATTAAAGCTTCCACAACTACTACCAACTTCATTTAACAATTTCACACCCCAAAAGATGTTTCTCAATATGAAGGAAACCAAACACTATACTTACTGATAAAATACAGTCCCCAATTTGTAAATGATTGTTTTTATTGGGAAGTTGAATATCACTGATGACTATGTAATAATTTGAAGTTTCATCGAATAATGAAGTCAAACCTGAAGCAAAAAAAACAACTGATGTTTGATCTACACAAAAATGCGCATGTAAAACAATGCACCAGTAGGTGTTCAAAAAATTTTTAAAATAATTTTGATGACAGACCTGATACTTTGGCATTTGCAAGTGATCGTACCAACGATCCAAGACTATGTTGATTCATGAACAGTCATTTAAATATTTGATAAATGAAACTATCTCATACAAAATTTACAACTAAAATGTTCTATTGAAATAGGTCTATGTAGATTACTTAGTTAAAGGGAAGTTTGTACTGCAGACCAACGTTACTTAGGCAACCATTAAAAACAAAATTGACACTCTGCCGTCTTTGAAACTTTCCGGGAGTTTGTGTTATTATTATTATTACTATTTGTTTTATTCAATATCCAATTTTTGATAAAATGTAGAATTCTTAGCATAAGTGACCGGTAACCATATCGCAGAATGACTCTAATAACCTAAAGTTTTGAAGATTAAGAGTTATTTTCATATTAGACTCACAATGCTAAACAACCCATCAATAGTTCAAATGTCATCAGTTATGAATCGTTACATTAAGATCAGATTTAGCTTGGATGATCATTGGAACTCATTGAAATCAATGAAAACATGTTAAGTATTATTTGAATGGTAGTTTGAATAGAAAAACCAATTATATACCGACTATATTATTCACACGATGGTATTTCAAAAGACTCGTTTCTTTTTATGAATTAAAATTTTTATACAATCTCAATATAGTGTAGCTCTGAACAGTAATAATGTCCTTTAATTAATACTGAACATAAAAGCTATTCTCTAGTGCATAAATTGTTTAACGTACATTCCATGGCAAGGATAAAGTATCTATCATTTCAATAGTTACACGACTTTTTAGTTATGCCATTCTTAAAATGTGTTTATGCTTTCCACACAATACTTATTAAGAATTATTCAAGATTGTTGACTTATACAATGTGTATTTCTTAAATAATGTTATACAATTAAATATTATACCCTCAGATTATGTGTATTCCATATATCTTAGGGTTTGTATTATTTACAATTCCATGATATTTTTTATTAAGATCATGAACTAGTTGATGTTAAACTACTATTGAAAACTTGAACTCATTGTAAGGCTGTTTCGTCCCATTGTGGGACTCCTCAGCGGTGCGCATCCACGATCCCGCTCGTAGAATTCGTACCTAGGGCCTTCAGTCTCACGTGCGAATGCTTAACCTCTCAATCAAAAACATAATAATCTCCATAACACTATAATGATAATTCCATGATAAATGTCCAATCAAAATATTATACAAATCATTTCATTTCAAATAGTATACTATTATTTGTTTTGAATTTTAACTATCCTTTTGTATTACATTTTCAATGTGATTTTTCTAATCATTTTCAGAATAGGTATTATTTATTAAGGAATCAATTATTCTTCATAGAACTTGAATTGTACAACTTCCGCCTAATACAAAGTTTATTATAATAACACAATGAAATTATTCTTTATAATAATGATGTAAATAAATAGAATAAATATTATTTAAGAAAACAATTTAGATTGGATACACAAATCAGTTGTACATTTGACCTTCAATGATGGTGATGATGATGATGATGGATAAAAAGGTTAGTTTATATTTACATTAACATACAATTTAAATTAATGAATTGAAAACAAAAAGAATTGTCTTTGTGATTTATTATAAACAATAATTTGCCTAAACATTTTCACTTATAGGTTGTATTGATTTGTTTTTCTTACAACAAAAAAAGGAATTAGCAACAGTTGTTACCATATGTACTAATTTATGTTTTCGAAAAACAATATAAAAAGAAATAAATCACTTAAAATTTAAAAAATCGATATTATTTGTCGCCAGAACAATTCAAGACTGAATTTAAGAATAAAAATTATTAAAAAAATTAAATGATATTATCCACTATTAAGAGAAATACGTAATAGCTCTCTTATTTGGTAACAGAATTGTAATTAAACTTGATTATTTTATTTTAATTTAATAATTGAATTCATCAGTTAATTGAAATTAAACCACCATGGCAAACATGGAACCACTGGATGACCATTTCGTTCTTGTATGAAACTCCTGAGCAATGCGTATCCATAATCCCATATTGTGAAATTCGAACCCAGAACTTATCAGTTTCAAAATCAGTAGAACAGTTACTCACTTAGAAATGGATAATATTTAAGTTTTGATATTTGTTAAACTGTAAAAAAATAATTTTAAATGCTTTATAATAAGCTAAGCGTTTCAATTTAGTTGAAATAATCATCAGTAAATGTGATGTTCATCTTTTTCAGCTATCAATATAGTTTATTTTCAACACAAATAAAAAAATGATATCAAATTTAAAAATGTTAACTGTGCATTTGAACAGCACTTTTGAAACTAAATGCACACGATTTCTAGATGATGGAAAATGATGCACAAATATAGGAACAAAAATCAAACAAATGGGGGACACAACCAAAACAAAGAAGTAAACGATGAAAAAGTTAGGGTCAATAAGAACCAATCAACGTCAAGGTGTACAGAACAAGCTGTGAAACGCATATAGAGAAATTCGAACACTTCACTTCCATCTGAAGTTTGTGCTGATGATGTAGTTCAGAAGAACAATGAAAGCTCCACGACCAAACCATCCAGCTCAGAGAACAAAACTCCATCAAAAAAGAACAATTTCAAATTGAATTTCTATTGAATTTTATATATGAATCTAATTTTCGTTATGATCACTAATAACAGAAGAAAGTTTACAAAGAATAAATAGAATGCAGTTAGCAGTGAAATACAGGAGATATGTTGTTTTATTTAGGACCCTACAATATAAAAGATTACAAAAAATACCAAGGAAAAATTATATTATTCTGTTTAGTAAAAATGTAATACTTTTGCATACTCCGTTATATTTAGTGATAAATTTGTCGGAAGTTCACTTCAAGCTTCAAATTACTTGTATACATGTGTAATTCTTAATTATAATGTTTGAAAATATCTCAGTACATATTTACTCGACAAGATTGTTAATAATACTTCAGAGGTTTGGCAATACTTCTAGTGATTTTACAGATCAATTGATTAACAAGATATCTTCCCAATAAATAAGAAGCCTCTACATATGGTCATGAAAGCAAAACAACATCAAATCTTATATTTTTATGAAAGAGCTTATCAGTGAAGTTATAAAATATTTCCAATCTTTGTCTTTTTATATCATGTGATAACTTGAATAGTTTTCTACATAGAGAATCTAGAATACTTTCAGTGAAAGAATAAAAAATAACGACTGATTAATCATAATTTATAATTGAAAAACCTTACGTGATACTGAAAATCCTAAATTTTGATTAGAATTTCTATAAACGTCTAGTGTGAACTGTTCAGACAACAGGTTAACATTTTGTATTGTATTATTATTTATGAATTCATCTAAAGTTAAATTGTTGTTGCTGTCATTGTTTTCTTTCTTATATTTTAATTTTCCTCCAATGAGTAGTTGATTTTGTTCAGTTTGAGAAGAATATTTATCTGATTCATTTGGATGATTAGAAATTATAAATGAATGTTCACGTTTAGTTTTGTGATACTTATATTGTTTATCTGTTGATAAAGTATTTTTTAGTTCAATAGATTCATGATTTACATTTTTGAATATGCTTTTAAATGAAAATGCATCATAATTGAAATCAATAAATCCTTCATGATTGTGCTGATTGTTATTGTTTGAGAAGGTGTTTATATTTGACATAGCAACTGACTTTGAATTTAGTTGTTCATTAGAATTCCAAAGACTAAGTGTTTTATTCACTTGTCTCAAATAGAATCGTTCATTTGACCAAGGAAATTCATTATTATTCAACTTTATAATTGGAATATCACTGCGTGATTGAAACATATGGTTATAAGCAATTTTGTTGAACTGATCAATTTTTTGCTTAACATTTGGTAGTTCATTTTTTAAAATTAATTTGTCATTTTTATTAGGCGTATCCATTGAGTAGTAGTAAATTGGATTATTTTCAGTAATTAAGTATTGTCTAACAGTTCTGTAAGGAGAACAAAATAAAAATACGAAAACAAGTTTTGTTTATTAATTTTAAATTGATATGCTTATATTTTCTAAACAAAATATCGAAATAAATTCACTTGACATTGCTTTTTTGATATTTAGGACTGCAATTGATCAGTCTCTTATTGGCATATGTGCATTTTGTGCGTAATACCTTGATATTGTTTTAATTCACAAGCATTTTAAGCAATGATGGATAGTGATTTCTGGATAGTCAACTCTGAGATGCAGGTACATCGAGCTGACGAGTCTCCGATAGGACGAAACATGCGTCTTGGATTCTATTGCTAGCCACTATCTATCTTTGCTTAAAATGTCAAATTATTTTATAATCTAGCCGTGAGTTTAATAACTTATGTTTCTGTTGTATCTCATGTTTAAAAGTTCATGCACTTTTATTTCGTATCTTATTTGATAATAATGATAATACATAAATGTTTTGATTGCACTTAATATCGTGAAGCTAAACATTGCTAGGAAACCAATTGAAAATGAAAAATATCACCTTTATCTAATATTAATCTAAGATACTTTAGTTATTTGGCCATAATAATTGTTACTGATACCCTGATGAAATAAACGCACAAGCTAACATAACAAGCACTAACTATCTATCAAGATTTACGGATGGGAATTCATATACTCTGTGATATTTATCCTTTTATAAATAAGGAATTGTATTATTCTATGTAATCTTCAAGTGATTATAAATATGATGTAATTAGTCTACTAGTAATGTAACAGATAATTATGTAAAATAAATTCAATGGAATCATCCTTATTTTGTCAAAAGCTAGAGAGGTCTTTTATCACACACGCAACAACAAATGAAGGAGAAAACGACCAGTGCATCAGCCTCAGTAACAGTAGGTCTCAACATACACAAACGGAAAAACAAGATTCTCCAATACAACACAACATGCACCAATAGAATCACACATGACGGAGAAGCTTTAAATGATGTAAAAACCTCTACATATCTAGGTAGCACCACGGATGAATATGGTGGATCTGATGCAGATGGAACTCAAAACAACTGTCAACCAACATTGAGATCAGAATTTTCAATACAAATGTTAAAACAGTACTACTGTATGGGATGGAAACCTGAAGAACTACGAAAGCCATCACCCAGAAGATACAAGTGTTTATTAACAGTTGTCTACGCAAAATACTTTGGATCTGTTGGCCAGACACTATCAGCAACAACCTACTATGGAAGAGAATAAACCAGTTCTCAGCGGAGGAAGAAATCAGGAAGAAGCGCTAGAAGTGGATGGGACATATATTGAGGAAAGCACTCAATTGCGTCACAACGCAAGCCCTCACATGGAATACTCAAGGTCAAAGGAGGAGAGGAAGACCAAAGAACACATTACGGCAAGAAATGGAGACAAACATGAGAAAAATGATCAACGATTAGATAGAACTAGAAAGGAAAGCCTAGGATACAGTGGGTTGGTGAATGCTGGTCGGCTGCATATGCTCCATTGAGATTAATAGACGTAATTAAGTAAGAGAGGTCTTAAAATATTAATTATCAAGCATAATTTAAATGATTAAAAATTGGGCATGCTCATTTTCTTAGTGTAGACACTTAAAAAAAATTGGACAGTAAAGTTATTTAGTAGTTTAATTTTTTTTTTTAGTTTACAAACTTATGTTACCACGCATCATATTACTTATATTTATTCGCTATAATAATTTATTATCATATAAAATATTAATAAATATGTATTAAAATTCTATATCAGACATCATAAAATATAGATATATGAATTCTTAATTTGACTAAGAAAGTCATTATTGATTATACTGAATTATAAGTAGCTTAGACATTATTGTTATTAGTAGTAGTATTAGTATTACACATTTATTGCTTACTATAACTATCCAATTTTCTTTGTCTGATATTATGCTCTGATAATGAGTGATATATATTCTATTTTTATATAATTATTTCTGATCATATATAGATGTTCTAGACAGATTAAAATGAACATATATGTCTCATATACTTTTAATGGACAAAATAATAAGATAAGATAATCAATTTGATATGGAAATTATCGAAATAGTTAACTTATTTCAGTCATATCAATGATATGAAAGATTAATATACTCATTGTTCATTTTAAATATCATATTAAGTCATTTGGGCATTTCTAAGTTTATACTTGGTAAATATAAGTGAAATTCGTAAGAATAGCATGAATTCATTTTATTTCGTTTGGTTCTTGTCAGCTGGCTTATAACTTGTGATATTTATAAATCATAATTACATAATGGATTATTATTAGTTTTTTTAATCTTTCTTGGATTTATTACATCATAGAGTTTTTATTTCAACTTATTTTACTAACTGAGCGTTACTCATTTTATTCCTTCATCAGAGTTTACTCATTATGTAATCACTTGTTTCTGCCCGTTCGAACTGTTTTCACAATCAGTGTTGTAGAATGTTCTTTCATATAGGGTATATATTTACAATATTGAGATATAAACCAGTTTCTTATTTCGCTGAAACTAGTAACCAAAAGTTGACTGACGTTTTTTTTCAGTCTGGTTATATTAGTATTAAGAATTGTGGAATACAATAAGATTAATAATGTATGTAATGTGAAATGTTTACTGGTATTAATTTAATCAGTGATCACCAGACCTATTACTATTCCAGTCAAAAACAGAATACTTTTAATTAGGTTTGTTTAACAGTGATTTACAATAGTAGTTATTACGAAACAGACAATTATATTGAAAACGTGATCTATTTTATTGAACTTTATAAAAAATTTCAGATTAAATAAGTAAAGATCATTAGTAGATAAATGTTACAAAATTAAGAATATTGTAATCAAAGTTAACATTTGAATAATACAGAAATGACTTAATTAATGTTCTTGAGTAGATATTGGGTTAAATTCAATGAACATGTCAAACTGAAACATTCATATCTATCTATGTCTTAGTAAGTTATTTATTCCTATGTTATAAATGTTAAATTGTTACATTAAACCATTTTTCCCCCAATATACAATCTCTTAATATAAAACATTTATAACATGACAATTTGTTATGCAGTACGATGTCAATACTACATAATTAGGCAAGGGAGCAGTCAATTTTTGAGATTTTTATAGTTGTATATGATCGGATATTATTATAAATGGAAGTAAACAGTATTTAATATGAAGATTAGTGTGACATCCTTATGAACAGAGATTGTTGTTAGCTTTAAAATAATTAAAATTTAGTTGAATAATATTTCCTATTATTTTGATATGTGTTTCAATGAGGTATTAAAACGGTAAAAAAATCTTCAGTTACTTATCACGATTATATTTGTAACTGAAACATCTTGATATCATTACACGACCCACGGAAAATTGTTATTGATTTTACGGAATGATACAACAATTGGATCTGAGCAACCTTACGCTTGTCTTGACTTGCTCCGGTGTTAACCAGCGGTAAATGAGAAGTATAAAATAAATGTAGTTTAATTATTACAGACAGTGACAAGTTTATGACTTTATAAACAGATTCTACATTGTCCTTCTGTAGTCGCTTTAAATTTTCGGGTTCTTCGCTCACTCTTCAGTCAGGAATTTGTAAACAGTAATTTGAAGACACTTATGATCAAATATCTGTAACCATTCTAGTTTGACTGTTTTTTTTTATTTTTACGAACTTAATTCAATCTTTTCAATCTCTTTCGTGGACGTTTGTCATATAACGAAATCCCAATAGTGATAATAAGGAAAAGTTGGCTAATGGAATGGAACTGTAATCCAGTTGACGTCATCCTCATTATGTTGTTTTCATATTTCCAGCTCATTTTGAAAAAACTCACTTCTGTTTATAGTCTAAATAACGGAATTTAGTTAACTCTCTTCCCTTTCTTCAGTTTTATCTTTTTTCGCTTACTGACTTGAGTTTACATTGAAATTGGCTCTTGTTTCGTCATATTGAAAACTCTTCAAATAAATTTCCAAGGACTCATTTGTTAAAAGAGTTTGATGAGTTTTATCAAATTTTTCCTAGCACTTTAATGAAATTTATTAAAAGTCAACATTATTATTATTATACGACAGACTAGTGATTATGTAACGATCAATAAAATGTTTGGCTATTAATTTTCTAATCACATGGATAAACATTACCTTGAAATGAAAAGCTCCGAATAATCTTCCAGTTAATTTACATGGAAATTACATTTAGTTAACATTACTTTCAATGAAAAGTAGTAAGAATCTAAGACTCTTTAATGTACGTGTTCATACGTTTGAGATATAATCAATTAAGACAGAAAATGATGAAAAATATATCAGTCACTGATAACTTATTAAGTTTGTATTATATGCAAATGGATTATAATTTCGGTAATGAACCAAGTATTTTGATTGAATATTTGAATAAAAAAGATTGTGTAATTAGTCGTAATGATTATACTTAGTGTTTCAATTGTTTTTCCACCTATCATGTTATTACATTTTTATTTATGTTGTATTCCATAGCATTCAATTTAGTTCTTTATTGATTTTGACTCAATATTCGTTTAAGTATTTTATTTAAAAATTATGTCATTGTAAGCAATGATGGATAGTGGCTAGTAGGGAGATCCTGGACGCGCGTTTCGTCCTATTTGGGATCCGTCAGTTGAATGCACCAGATCAATTGTAGTTCTAAAACATCAGTGAGAAGATTCATACAAACAATACAAAAAAGTTAGACGTCATCCTATTCCAAAGCTGCTATTGGGACTCAGTAGCTAAGTGGAAAACGTGATGGCGTTTGAAGCGAACGGTACTGGGTTTGAGTCTCAGATTGAACATCAACTCGGATCCAGGTACTTCCACATGACGAGTCCCATAGAGGATGAAACACGCATCCTGGATTCCACTGCTAGACACCATCTATTTTTGCTTAGAATGCTTGTGACTTGTAGCAATATCTAGACAATCCACACAAGAAACA